AGGAAAATTACAAGAACACTTGCAAAATTTTATGTATTCCTGGCAAACTGATGTCTATATTTTTGGATTATTCTTTGCCAGATATTTACGCTTTATTTGTCTTCACTGGTAATCATTGTATAGCCGTTTCCTACCTAGATACTATCGTTTAGTTTATTTCCAACCCTGAGTCCACTACGAACGTGTTTTAATCAATCGATGAAGTTGGATTGCGCGTCAGCGGGAGTTTGAAGGAATGGTTCACCCACGAAAGTCCCATTTCCGCTTCCCGGTCAGACTGCGCTGGTTCAGATCGACTGGACATCCGTTACCGAAGAATATAACCCCAGAACAATCTTTTGCACTTCACCCTGAACAACGTGTATGTGTGAAAGCGACATGGATACAATATAATGCATATTCAATACAAACATGTAGGGGGACTGAATGAAAAAAAGCTGTAAATATGTTGATCTTTCCCTATGTGGAAATAGTCTCTCGTATCGTCGAGAAATAAAAGATTTATGTATTTATCCATTTATTTACAGTGTCGACGAGCGCGCACCACGTTCAGTGACCAGAGGAAAGCGATGAACAACCACGTGGAATTTCAACGATACAGTGACATCACTTTAACGATTATTATCAAGTGGGAAAAGAAAATATGCGCGAAAGCAGTAGGATGATATAGGATCCGTTGCGCTTTGCCTACCACGCAGCGTAGTCAAACCACAGGAGATTAGTCGTTTGTCGCTACCAACGCAAGTGAGCTAACGATATACAGATAGTCGGTCTAACGAATTCAATGTAGACCTAGAGTTTCGAGCAACAAGATCAGGATGGACAACAGTTAACAAGGAGGCGATGTAACGCCAATTGACCGTACTCAGTACAAAGAACGGTAATTCATTGATGAAGGCAATGAGATGGACAACTGAAGAGGAAATTTCGACTACAATGAAGCAATGACTAGGAAAACATTGTAGCGCTCAAGAGAAGTAGACCACCCCGAAAACAGCAAACTCGAAATCCACTGGATTCGTTACAAAGATTGGGATCACACAATCGCAACCGACATGACGAGTAGCTTGCGGTGATAAGTGGTTCGTGGCATTAAGTCGACCCAGTAGATGAAGAGGTCGCATAATGGTGAGCGTTGTTGAAAAGTGGCCAAATATTTGAGTGGACTGGAAACTACCGTCCGACTAGGCGTCTCGCTTTTGTACAACTAAAATGTCTGAAACGTCACAAAGTGGGATGCTAGTGGGCCAGGCATAAAACGGATGGAACAATAAGCAAGTGACGAGCTGCGGGTTCAGGAGATATGCAGATGAGTGACCCGAAGAGTATCTCATCATCATTATACACGTCAGCTAGAGGTGGGAAACACCTCAGCTACTGTGCCGCAATACATAAAGCAAAAGGAAAATAAATACAACAGTCGCATGCCAGCTGAGCTACCAGCAACGGATAGGCATCGTTCCGGTAAGCTACCAGCCAGCAACAAGGCAAAAAAATTATTATATTTACGTTACAAAATGAGATCGTAGGTGGAGGGGAGGCTAAAAGGGATAGGGAAGGAAAAGAAAAAAACAGGAACGCCACTGAGGTCGACTCCATGCAATGGATGCAAGTATATACAGCCAGACGTGTTTATCGTCTTTTTGACTCCAATCAGGGAGCCGTGAAGCTCCAACCGAGGCCAGCTCCGAAGTGAGGACCTTCATTCCTCGGGACTAAGTCATCGCTGGGCCATCTCTCCTCTTCTTCCATCCACATCCCCGGTGAGCAAACAACGCAAGTCGTGGAAGTCGGTGGGCTGGCATGCGCAACACATGGCTAAGCCATCGGAGCTTAGTGTGTGAAATGACGGTGATGAGCGGTCCAGTTCCTTTTTCTGTGCCGTAAACAAGGTGTCGAACACGCTCGTTACTCACGCGGTGTTCCCACCAGATGTGAGCCAAACTGCGAAGGCACCGATGGTCGAACGTAACTAGCCTCTCCATGTCCGCTGATCTTAGGGGCCAGGTTTCGCAACCGTACAATAGGGTCGAACGTACCGCTGCATTGTACCCTCTACCCTTCAGGGAGAGAGTAATGTCACGCCGCCGCTATAGGTGGCGAAGGTTAACAAAAGCACTTCGAGCTTTTGCTATACGGTTCGTGATCACGTCTTCGATCCCAAGGGCGCTGATACAACTTCCCAGGTAGTTGAATTTCTGAACGACTTCTAGCTGATCCCCACCAAGGGTCAGCGCAGGAGGCGATCCCTGCCAATCTTGGAGGAACGCTTTGCAATTCGATGGTACAAAGCAAAGCCCGAAGCGGCTGACAGCCAGTGCTAATCTGTCCAGCGCGGCTTGGCACGTTTGGGAGCTGTCACAGATGACGACAATGTCGTCTGTATACTCCAAGTCAAGAAGTCGTTCTCCTGGGAGTAGCTCCACACCTTTCAAGTCATGTCCTGTAAATACAATCTCCATGACTTGGTCAATAGCGAAGTTGAAGAGGAAAGGTGACAGCGGGCATCCTTGTCTCACACCGCTGGAGATATTGAAGGGTGGCGACAGCTTGCCGTAAGCCCTCACTCTGCCCGTGCTACGCGCATATAATGCTTGGATAATATTTACATATATCTCGGACACACCTTTCCTGAGTAGACACTTCCAAAGTGTACATCGATCAACCGAATCGAAGGCACCTTTGATGTCGAGGAACACGACTACAGTGGGCCGCCAATATGTGTGACGGTGCTCCAACAACTGACACAAGGTGAAGATGTGGTCGATGCAGCCACGACCCAGACGAAACCCGATTTGCTCCTCACGAATCTGGCTTTCACGAGCGCCAGTCAGTCTGTGAAGAATTATGGAGGCGAGTAATTTGGAGGCGATGGAGATCAGACTGATTACTCTATGGTTGTTGCATTCCGAGTGCGAGCCGCCTTTGAAGATGGAAACAATCACGGAGCGGCTCCAGTCGGTTGGGATAGTCTCCTGCTCCCACAGTTTCACTAGTAATTCATGTAAAGCATCAACAAGAACAGAGCCTCCGAATTTGAAGAGGGCTGGAGGAAGATCATCTGTTCCCGCGACTTTGTTCAACTTCAACAGTCCGATCTCACGTTCGACTTCTAAGCAAGAGGGTGGATCCAAAGGGACAGCCCACGGAGCAGGGCGATCAGTGACCGGCGAAGAATCGAACAATTCTAGCCGATTAAATTGCATTTCAAAATGCTCAGCCCAACGATCCAAACGTTTTGACAAATTGTGGATAGGCTGTCCACTCTCGTCACTTAGAGTTTCACTAACACCAGGTCTCCTGCTGCCCGTTTCCCGTATCAGACGGAATAACTTACGATGGTTACCAAGGGCAGCGGCCACTTCCATCTCTGACGCAAGATGAAATCACCAGGATTCGCGGTCTCTCTTCAGGCTAGCACGGAGTTTTGCCCGGAGCTCTTTGCGAGTTGCATTGTGCTCGCTTCCAGCCGAGATATGCCGGCGAGCGTCGATAAGTTCCAGAGACGGAGAAGAGACCCAATGTCCATGTTGGCGATTAGACACACCACATGAGGATTTGCCTGCTGCTAGTAAGGTCTGGTGAATATGAGACCAGTGAGCTTCAATTGCATCCAGTGAGCGTTTATCCAACTCGCATGACAGCGTACTTTGATAGGCATTCAGAACAGCTGGCTTCGCCAGTTGGCTGGTGTCAATGCGCTCACAACGTCGTCGTGGCGTCCGTCAAAACGCATCCGCAGATCAGCACATACAAGTGCATGGTCGGTGTCCACACCTGTGCTCCAAATCGAACGACAGTTCTGGACGCAGCCTCTCCATCAGCAACTTATCGCGATGTGATCGATTTGCGTCCATAGCTGGTTCGAGGCTGGTGGGCGCCAAGTCACCCTTCGGCGGGTGCTGTGTCGGAAATTAGTGCTCGCAAGAAATAAGCGAGCATCCTCACACAAATGAAGTAACCGCTCACCGTTATCATTACGGGAGCCTATACCATGTTGGCCGCCCAGATGCAGCTCATCTGTGGATAATTTTCCAACTTGGGCGTTCAGATCTCCAGCCAGCACTACAGTGTCCGAGCTTCTTCTGTGGCGAAGGAGCTGAGTCAGTTGACGATAGAAGTCGTCTTTTACCGAGTCATCGCTACAGTTTATGAGTGCGTAGGCAGCGATAACGAATAGACACCTATTAGTCTCGCGCGACTTTGAAGCTTTAAACGAGCCAGCCAATCGGACCGCACACATCCGGCTACCGATTGGAATCCAATCAACCAGAGCAGTTTCAGCCCGGGGACTCAGGGCAATGCCAACACCAGTTTGGCCGGTGCTCGAAGCTTCATCATCACCGGATAGGCACAATGAGAAAACACTGCTTGCGTCACCTGAAGGGTATCGCAGAGTGAGCATAGATCTCGAGTCTTGCAGGCGGGTCTCTGATAAGCAGCAGATATCGGTCGAGAGGGTCTCCAATGTTCGGGCAAGTGCTGCCTGTTGACCGATTTGTAGCAGTGTGCGTATATTGAGGCATGCCAATCTAAGAGTATCTAGACCCCAAGGAAGCAAAATTCAGTGCCTAATTGGGCACGTCATTCAAACATGTGGCGAGGACACTGAAGCGGGACGAGATGGAATGATTAAAAGGTATTTAGATCAATGGAAAAGTAGAGTATCACTTCATTCCACCATTAGACGTTGGCTAACAATGTTGTTGTAGCAAGCGAGTGATGAGGTCGTAAGTGAGGCATGCATCAGAACAGTCCACTTGCATAAACAAGTTTGCATAGTTAAGTAGCACACCTACGCGGTGAATGTCGCAGTGGAGCAACGCTGGTTGCTGAGTTCTGTGCAGTTGTTTTGTGTCCAGTGTGAAACGTGAGAGCGCAACGAACTTACGACCTCAACGTGCATGCACGCATACACACACACAACTAAAACATGAGATGGAACGCGCCACAGTCCAGCTAAGCAGCACAAACGAGGTAGAAAAAACAAGAGAACTCACCTTTCGAAGTTCATCTTCCTTTGCGGCAACCAACTCCTCTTGTCTAGTGACAGCCAACAGGGGACGAACTTTGGTGAATAGGCGCCACCACGGCCAATTGCGCAGCTTCAAATAGGCCACGCAGTTGCGCTGAATAACGGTAATCGCTTGTCGGTGTTGAATTCGCATCTCGCGAGCGCTGCAATGACAAGAGGTGGGCGATTAAGATCGAGACCATGACTACCGAAACCACAGTGGACTAGGAGGCAAGTATAACATAAATTGAAATAAAGAAGCACATGTTTGTAGCTAAGATTGTTTGACTGACGATCGCGTTGCTCGCTGAACTTAGTAATTCAGTCGCAACACAGTGGACGGCCTGACCATCAGCAATATGAACTATGCTCGAAAGACCGTAAATAGAAAAATTAAATTTAGCGAAAGCAAATGATATTAACACAAGAGGCAGTAACGAAGTAGTTTTTATAGGAATTCGGTAGAGTTGTAAAGGTCGCAAAATTGTAAACTGGGTGGCCGGTGGAAGCGTAACTTCACGGTGTCTGCTCGGAAGGTCTTGGTGATGAACGGCGCGTTGGAAGGCGACAACACAGTAATCAGATCATCACAGAAATCCATTGTCAAAAATAACGTGTCGCTAGCTGACTTTAGTGTAACCGTCTCTGGCTACCTGAATTGTGTCAATCCTATTAGAATGATGATTTGGACTACAAGAGTCTGATCTGTGTACAGGCAGCAGAAAATGCCGCGGAATGACACCATTTAATAACTGCGATAAACAATTTATGGTTGAGGAACATGTTCGGCGACAGGGGGTAGTCTGAGGCTACGCCGGACCGACAAACTGAACGGTGCCAGGGTGGTTTACACGTTTCAACTCATGTTGTCCACCAGTTGCTGACTGGAACCTGTGCGCTTGCGGATGAGCTCCCAGTATCCCAGTACGATGATGTTCAATGTACCGTGGATGGGTTTCTCTCATTCCTGATAAACAACCGCGAGAACAAAAACTATCGTACACGATAGAATACTCTGTAAAAGATATTAAACCAGTGAGGGATAAGAGGACGTTACCGAAGGTCAAGTAAGCAAAAACTACTATGCTGCGGCAGGCGAATCACCGTGTCCACAAACCATGTCCGAGCATGATGCCGGTATATGCGCAATCGCATGGTGTCGATCATCGAAAACAAAGGGTTCAGTGAAAGTGTAACAGAGCTGAGAAGGAAATGGACCCACCGTCTGGCCAGATAGCCACGAGCGCGGGCTTGGAATCGGATGATCACGTCTGTCAGATGGATGTCACGGTCTTCCTCCAATTGGGCCAAAACGCCGGCTTTGAAAAATATCTTGCTATGTCCGATGCGGTACAGAGCGGCGTTCAACTCTAGCACTTCCAACATTTTCATCACAGCCTTGCGACCATCCATAAAACCCTAAATGGGAATAAGGAAATGCGATTAGCAGATGTAATACAGGGACCAATCCGGATGACTCATAGTGCTATCAAATGCAAACGGTGGTGGTAAAATGGCACTGGGAGTGTGAACGAAACAACAGAGGAACGCGTCGGTTTGGAGATCCCGTTCAGAGATGGGGGGAAAGCAGAGAATGTGGCGAAAAACAGGAATAGGCTAATATAATGGTGATGCCACGGTTCGTGCATTGTAACCGTACTGAAATACCACATAACCAGGACAAACGTAAAAACTGAGATATATTGTTGGCAGTAACATTCATAGTATGTGTTGCCGATTGTACCCCATGCTGAGGCAGATGTTGCATTCATGATGCTTCTTCACCGCAGCTGGGCTAAACCAACTTACACTTAAACTAGGTCTTTTTAATGTGGAGAAAATTCGTTACACTTTATTTGGTTTGTTCTGCGTATTTGATAATCTCCCAACTTCCACACCTCGCTCATGCAAATTGTGGTAAACTTGCGTAATTGGATCGCGTGGTATTTTTTAAATAACTCGGACATTTCGTACTTATCACGGATTCACTTATAATCGATTTCTTCTATATGCTCAACCAGCGAGTATTGATGTCGTCGTAGGAGTTTACTTTATTCGATATGGGCATTTCGAATGATTGGCTATTGTTTGACATCCCAGGTGTGGCTGCGCTTGATGTGCATGTTGACAAGGTGCCTACCTGTCTATTACCCACTACCTCGTCCATACTGGTTCCAGGAGACAATTGGTCGTTGCTGGAGGGGACGGGGTGCACGGTCCTTGTGGCCGTGCTAGGCTCGAAGAGTGGTTCCATGCACTTAGCGTGGAGCGGACTACGGTCCAGCCACCGCCTTGTGTGCATTTGATTCCCCAAATACAGCGTGCTTGTGTTTGCCTGTGGAGGAGTGTGCTTTTCTATCCAGTTTCTGTATTTTAAATAGAAAAGGCGTGATCCAACGCATGAACAGTAAAAAGGTAAGATGGGTTTGTGTCATGCGCCCGTCTGTAATAGCTGTAGATTACGGTGATTCAAATAACAGCCGTCTGATAACATCCCACTCACAGATCCTCGCAAGAACCGAATCGCCGATAGCCAAGCTGGTTTTCGCCCTGATGGTGGTCGCATTGACTTTTTTTAAAACCAAGTTTTGACCAGAAAGAAGTTTTCGACTCTGTCGATCATGTCGGTTTATGGTGCTGTCTACGTGTGGACGGTGTGTATGAGGTCCCTATACCGTAAAATCGAGAACGTGTAAGTCTACGGGAAGTCGTCTCCAGAGTCCTAAGTTATAACTGGCGTTAGTCAGGATTATCCTACATCTTCTTTCCAATCTTTTGGAGTGGAACTTCATCTAGGTATCACTGGGTCTGACGCGGTGGCTATTCAATCACTACCGAAAAGGACGACGCATAGAGCTGCATGCTTTGGAAATGTTTTGCACCTTCGAAGTGCAAAGCCCTGTTGCACTAATGGGTTGACATGCTACGGTTTCTAGTAGCAGCGAACAGCCATAAAAGTGGCTGATCAAGTCGCTTACCTTAGTCACTGGGTTAACCTCTAGTGGTCACATCACTGAGGTCACTTCACGTACTGTCGAAGCAAGTGCGACGGTTCAGAGGTCTTAACACCCATAGACACAAGAAATACAAGCCTATCAGTCAAAGATAGGGTGTATAACGCTTTGACAAGGCAGGTATAAATCAGTGAGCCGGTCACTTCGCGCTGCAGACGTTAGGGAATAGATCGTCGTTGATTAACGTTGTATGCGGAGGATTGCACACATGTGGTGTGAACCAAAGGTAAGCAATGGTGTTTGGCAAGAAAATCTGCTGCCTTACCGGAGTGGCCACTAAACTTACGTTGGTTATGCCACTGACTGGATACCTTATCGGAAAAGGCACGGTCGCGCAGTTAGGGATATACCAGCATCGAATTTCTTGCATCTTGCAGTGAACGGCCTATCTGGATTGATTCTAGTCACTTTTTTCTACCTTTCAAATGACTTCAAACATTAGTAGTTGGGGTTGATCGGTTCGGTTTTCATGTGCCCGTTGAGCGTGACAATTGGGTCGCAGACGTTTAAGCACCAAGCGAGATGACTAGCCCAGGGCACTATTGTGTCAAGTTCAGTCTACTGATTTGATCATCGATCTGTGATCGACGAGCAGGTGCCTTTTGAAACCACCCCGATGTGTGCCCCGTGAACTCCATCCATTTTACCCGAGGTCTCTGGTAGGCTCGAGCGATCCGTGAGATAGGTTGGCTTCGGTTGTTCTGTTGATGGTTTGTTTAGCTGCCTACAACGGTTTTCGAGACATTTGGCGTTTGGTAAACTGGATGGATGTCGATAGGCATGTTTACCGAATGCTTCGCATCAAGTATCTTGTAACCTCGCTAACATTCTCCTTCCTACCTGATCCACATAGATCATACCGAAATCACGAGGATGTATCGTGTGCGCCACATTTCGTCTTTCCAGTGCTCTAGGTTTAGCTCATTGTTAGTTACTGTTATCCCGGTGACCCGGGTCGCAACAGCTAGACCAACCGTAACTGACTGCCGGGTTCATAGTTGCAGGACAGAATTGGACTGAATCGTTGGAAATATCCCAAGAGCAGTCAAAGATGCATCGGAAAGACGTGTGTCAGTTGTATGAGTACGCGAGTAAAAGAAATAGTCGCTCAGATAGGTAAACAGTATAGCACCGAGCTGATGACGTCCTGCGGAACCAGATTGTATCCCGGTACATTAGCAACTAAAGTACAGACGTCCAGTAGTAAAGGAAGCTATAAGTGAGCCAAAAACGGACGAGATGGAAGAAGCTTGGTTTTAAAGCAAGGTCTTTTGTGACAATCTAGAAAGCCCCTGTGAGAGCAAGGAAGAAACACGGACTCAACTATGACAGTGCAGCACTGCTTTGGATACTTCATGCTGATGGATCAAGTCAACTCTGATGGGAAACCAATAAGGATTGTTCCGCGCGATTTTACGGCCTCGCCATTGTAGGCTGAGAACATTGTACAGTCGTACAATGCATTCCGGTGCATCGTTCGCCACCCGAGTGTAAGAGTTTGAAACAAATAAAAAGACCAATCGAAACGACGATTCAGCCAAAGGAAACGAGGGATAAATTGTTCTCCGAACAATCGAAGGAGAAAGTATATCGGAATTAGGTACCAAACAACTATGGTAGTAGCCTGCATGCTAGCGTAGGATGACCCGTGCCATATTGCAGCTAGCAACCAGTCGCAGTGGCCCAGCGCTGGGCACCAACGACTCAGTGGGTTTAGTTGCTGACTCGTAGGAGTAAGATTATGCATTCGGATTCAGCAGGACGCGGCGAATGCGTGTTACTGACCAATAGGATAAAACGGCCGTCTAGCGTTTCCCTGGTTGTGTGGTGGCTGCAAAAACCTTCACAAAAGTATCAAGCCTTCCTACGGATCCCAAATAAGTGGAAGGGCATCAGAAGTATGTCGGAGTCTTGCACTTAACATTCGCTGCCACGAAACCAACACCGATTGCAAGTGGGCTGAGATGTGGTGAAGTCGTTCGTATACATAAAATGTCGAACCGATGACCGACAAACAACAAGCTAGACGATGGCTACTGGCCGGATTAGAACAACGATAAGAACAGAGAGGGAAAGAGTGTGGAACAAACCAGGCGCATAAAATGGCATCATCCTAATAAAATCACATGATGCCGTAAGTCTTGTGAAGTAAAGTGAAGAAAGTGAAAAAGTTACTAAACAGGGAAATCAAAACATTATGGGTGCAGAAAAAGTAAAGAAAGAGCGCACAAACAAGTCGCGTTCAAAACTCACTTTTGATATTATATTTGGGGTGAGGATTTCATATCGCTGCCGAAATTCCTGGAACAGCACACGAGACGGAAAACCTTGACGACAGATGCGAATACCTTCGAGGACACCATTACACTTGAGCTGATCCAACACCAAAGGTGCATCGATGCGCCCCGGACGCTTCTCGTGATTCGGAATGATGCAGCGTACAAAGCTAGGGGATGTATTTTTGAGCACATTCATTAGGCGATTGAGCGACTCTTTGTACAACTGACCGACGGTACGCAGCATGCCCTTACGAACCCCGCGAGTGGCACCGAACGATGTGTCGGTGCTTGCAGTGGATGATATGCCCACGATTTCAGCGTCTTGATAAATTGCCTGAGGAAGAAAAATAAAGTTGCATCAAGCTGCCCATAAAGCGAGCACAGAGTGTACGGAAAACCGGTGTTCTGCCTACCTGCACCAGAGGATCATTTGAGGTGAGGAACAGGTTGACTACAGTGTCATTCAGTGGGTCCATATTTTTGGTGAGCCATTGTGCGGAACTGTAGTCCACTCGGCCAGCGTAATGTAACACCCCAAAGTCCGCTGAAGATCGGAACTCTGGTTTGCACACTTTAGGATGGTTCTCCTGAGTCTTCAGTAGCTTCTCCACAAATGACTTATCTGTGGCCTTTGGGAAAAAACATTCTTCGTCTAGCAAGGCTAAAATGCCTAAAGGCTGAAAGTAAACGAAGGAAGACAGAGAAATGGTCATAAGAAGCAAATGAATAGGCAATAAGATAGCAAGATAGGTTACTTGTTTTTTGATGCTGTAGACTGTGTAGAAAGCAGTAGTGCCATTAATGAACGTTTGCGAATACAGTTCCTCCCCCCAAATATGACAGCACTGCAAAGCTTTACAAAGACTGAGGGAGAATTAGTACCCAGTGCTTAAAAAATAGCTCATTTCATTCGGTGATCGAAGTAAAGTGAACTCGCACGGGTACTGCAGTAAAGTTCACTATAACAAATCACAGTAATGAAGAAAATTGGCTACTTCCCCCGGTGGAGGCAGGTGAAGCTAAATGGTAAACATAACTGATATAAATTGTGTACTCTCGGCAGTGCGAGAGACGTACGTAACTAGTTAATCAGTTGCAAACTGGATTTATGTATGCGCATATGTAGATTTCTCTGTGTGTAGCCTCATGCTGAGGTTGGTGTTGCATTCATAATGCTTCTTCACCGCAGTTTGACTATAAACCAACTGACACTTAAACTAGGTCTTTTTAATCTGAAGAAAAGTCATTTCACTTTATTTGGTTTGTTCAATTGTTATTTTGCTACATATCCGTTTGATTTCCATTAAATTCCGTTGGTTGTTATAATCCTCGATGTGGTTGCGCTTGGTGTGAATGTTGACAAGGTGTCTACCTGTCTAACACCCTCCATCTCGATTGCTGGCTCCAGGAAACTCCGAATCATTGCTGGGGTAGGGGTGTGATGCACGATTATCGTGGCCGTGCTAGGCTCCAAGAGTGGTTCCATCTAGTGTGGAGCGGAGTACGGCCCAGCCACCGAGTTGTGTACGTCTGGTAGGCATGCTTGCCTACATAGATAGACAAAAATGCTGCTGCTGTGCATGCTGAAGGAGAGTGGGCCGGCTCCGTTGATGAGAATTGGCTCCCATCCACATGCCTCCTGGTCTTATTCCCTCGGGTTTGCACTGGATATGGGGTGTGCGGATGGATCTGTGGGTGGTGCAGCGCAAGCCATCTATGACCCCTCTGCAGGCCCAGGCGTCCTGTGGTTGTCTTATGGAGGCCAAAGTGACAGGCAGATCCGGAAACGAATGCCACCAACCATGTGCGTAGCCATGTTAAACGAACATGTTAACGTAACACTGCATGTGCCATGGTGTTCGATCTGGTGGTCAGCGCAAGAGCGGATCACAGAAATCATTCAAAGTTATGAGTGACGTCCGTGGAGGGGGTAAGATCATCTTGGTGGGGAAGAGGCGGTGAGTTTATTTAGTGGCGAGTCACATCCGCAACGTCGCAGTGTTGTTATACGGATATTGGTGACCTTTTATGGGGAGAACTCATCACGTCCTGAAACGCTGCCGCGGAATCATTTGACAGAACGAGATTGATTCGAACGACCCAGCTGGCACCATGAAGAGGTCGTTCGGCAAGCCAGCGAGTACAACGCATAAGCGCAACCAGGCAAGAGTGTACTCTCATTCGACCTCTTGTTTAGAAACCAAATGAGCTTAGGAGCGTGAGTAGACGTGCTCACAACGATAAGCAGCTATTAGGTAGTTGCCAGGATGACCTGCAGAGCCCATCCAAAGGCTGTACGGATACACAGTATCACACGGATTCACAGTATCGACAAAATGACATGGTTCAGCAAGGTATGAGGGAAAACAATTCTTATGACTTTCTAGTGAGAAATTAGAGCTGGGCAACAGAGCAGAGTTGGAGTAAACTAATACTCTCAGAGTTGGACAACTGATATAAACGGAAGAAAGCCGAGGCCGACGAATGGTGCTTCAAACGAGAGTGACGTGGGACATAAGAGCCCGTCAAGCTCGAGAGCATGAACGAATACCAAATATGCGTGCAAGCAGGAAAATGTGGTTTGGTGTGTAGTGCAAAAGTGATGTATCAACTGAAGATTGGGAAGATGACGTGGAATGTCGGTAGATGATATCAAAAGGTGATAAGAAAAAGGTGGTCGCTTAGTGGACCTTTGGTTCTGATGTCCGGAGATGGACTCGAAATCGGCCATATAGGAGCAAACAGCCGAAAAAGTGATAGAAGTATAGTCGAGTGGAATAGGAATGATAGTTATGAGTGCGATGGTCAACTGTGACAAGTTCACCATGCAGTTTGAAAAACTGAGAATGGCATCAGTCGAAAGTAAATAGTTGCATGCGTAGTGAATCAGATGACTGCCACCATCGTCCACAGGAAACCTAAGATGAGTATGTTCGGGTACTCTTCAAGCTCGGTAAACTGGGGCGGAGGACACCGAACACTCATCCACATCCCGAGCTACAAGTAATTGATATACACATACATTTCTCGAAAGTGTGAGAAACTATTCCTAGAACAGGAACAGATCTGTCGTACAGAAATGCTCTTGCATATGAGTGCAGGTTAACGCTAACCTTGTGCTTTGTAGATATTTTTGGACCATACTGGAATTTTTCATCAGGTGAATTGTCGAATGAGAATATAGATAATGACATCACTAGATCCTAGAATCCGTCGAGTTTGGTGTGGTACAACGTAGGGTTTTCACATATACTGATTGCGATTGATAGACCCTTCCACAAGACGGCGCAATTCATGAGGAAAAAGTTGAAGGGCTTGATTGTTCTAGCTCTTGATATCAGCAGCGTAAATCTCTTTTTGCGGAGTCTATGATGGTGAGCGTGTTTTATCTCTAAGTTAGGTAGGCAAGAGTAAGTTATCTGGTGCAATACATTGTGAAGGAGCATCAAGTGTTGCTTTAGAAGTCGTAGCCAGAGAGGCTCGATGTGAATCTGCTTGCAACGTACGCGATAGTTTAGGTTGGGTGTGTAGCTAAACTAACGTTTAGTGAGTGACCCATGTAAATTTTCCATAGCTTCTGTATGCTGGCACAGACGAAAATGTAGTATTTGAGAATAGGACGAGTAGGATTTTGAATAATTCCAATCTGGCAGGGACTGTATGGATTTTGTGGCATATGTTAGACGGGGATTATCTGGTTCGAGCTATTTGGTATTGGGCTTGTTTAAAAAAAGCAGAAGTCGGAAAAATATCGGATCCCACGTAAACTGTCGTATGGACACACTTTTGTTGTTAAGTCTACTTAACCCATTGGGGATGGAGCAACAGAAAACCTAGTGTGACATCCAAATTCCGAAGTAGTTAGCGGCCGATTAAGCTCCGATGGACAGCCCCTAACCTCGAGTACAGATCGTGCGTCCGCATTGGCGATGCACTTCGCCTCCGTATTTGCAAGTGACCAGGTGTCTGTAACGAGTTCGACGAGTAGCGCACCAACCGAACTTAACAGCCTGGACTGCAATATTGAGGATGTGCGCAAGCTTCTAGCAAATCTTGACGGGACAAAGCCTGCTGGGCCAGATGGTATACACCCACTGATCCTCAAGTCCCTATCGGCCATCATCGCGCCTTCTGTAACTGAACTGTTTAACAGGTCACTACCTACTGGACTGTCACCAGACGACTGGAAATGCTCAGTCGTAAAGCCCATACCGAAAGGTGGTAACCCAAGTAAAGTGGATAACTACCTGCCGATCTGCCTGACTGCTGTTTTGGCAAAGACGCTCGAGAAGATCGTGAAGAAGAACCTTCTGCAGCTTCTCGAGTCGAAAAACCTGTTGACCTCCGCACAGCATGGTTTCGTGAAAGGTCGCTCGTGCATCACCAATTTACTGTTGACGAGGCACCAATGGTTACAAGCACTGAACAAAGGCAAATCAGTCGACGTCATTTACATTGACTTCAGTAAGGCTTTTGACAAGGTTAACCATGCTGTGCTCCTTGAAAGGCTGAGGATGTACGGTGTTGGTGGTTCGCTACACAAATGGATCAGAAATTTCCTTGTGGATCGGAAGTGGAGTCCAGGTGGACAACCAACTAACGGACTGGTATCCATCGAGCAGCGGCGTGCCCCAAGGCACTGTACTGGGGCCGATATTGTTTCTGATCCATGTAAACGATGTGCTTAACCTACTCCAATCACCATGTGCGTTGTCCGCAGATGACTTGAAGGTGTGGAGAGTAATCCGCACACCCAATGACTGTGATTTACTTCAGCAGGACCTCGACAGCCTCTCGACATGGTCTGCAGAGGTTAACCTTCCGATCAACCCTGCTAAGTCGCAATTCATGAGGTTGGGTAAATGCGAGCACAGCCGAACGTACACAGTGGCTGATCAACCGCTGCATCCCGCGTCTTTCGTGCGCGACCTCGGTGTGCTCACACGCTGCGACCTAAAGTTCATTGACAACACGAATAGGCTGTACCAAAACAGCCTTCGGATGCTTTGGGCGCTCAGGCGCAGCTTCAGCACTTGGTCCGAAGAGATTGCCACTCGCCTCTTCGTCTCGATAATACGACCAATGATAGAGTGCGGCTCTCCCGCATATTGTCCCATCACGCTGGGCGAGGTAGAAAAGCTTGAGCGGATGCAGCATGTAGCTACTAGGCTGATTCCCAACTTACGAGGTATGCCATATGAAGACCGATGTAAGAAACTAGGGCTATACACCCTAGTATATCGTCGGCTGAGGGTTGACCTCATCATGACGCACCGGATATTACATCTAAATGATTACCCCATGTTGAGACAACTGCTTCATCTACGCACACCAAGCAGCACGCGAGGACACCAGTTCAAACTTATCGTAGAATGGTGAATACCTGGAATAACCTGCCGCAGCCGGTAATGGAGGCGAACTCAGTGGCCGATTTTAAGAAGCTTCTAGACAAACACTTTGCAGAGGCAAATATAGAGAGCGGAACGATAAATAATAGGTTAATGTCCAGGAGCGACAATTGATGCAGTTACACAGAGTATGCTCTACTCGCTGCTTCCGATCAGTATCAGCGTAGTTTGGAGACCGCCACTCCGTCTGTAAACGGAGTACATGTCAGCAGCGCACTAGAAAGATAGAATATCATGTGTTTGTTGCAAGAAATAAGTCGCTGTATCTGATATAAAATTCGAAATACAGCAGCCATCATGAGACAGACTTAGGACAAAACAAGCATGGGCGTTCAACAGAAGAGGCCGGTGAGGTGTTCTACATGATCAGGGTTTGATCAATCCACAGCGTCGACCACCCGCTTTGTAAAACGTAGTTTACAAGTTTAGGCATCCCAGTCTTTGAGTACAGACAGCTCATGATCAAGGATGGACCGAAAGTGGAGCAGTGGTGCGTTGTTCGCATCTAGAGTAGTGGAGCGGTGTTCCCCACATCAGTGGTCATGAGATGAGCACACTGTTAGCATGGGAAATGGAATTGTCACGCGAACTAGCAGACGGAAATTCGAAAAAAACCACACGATGGTAAGCGCAACACCAGTGGGGGAAAAGAGACATCCCAAAGTGACCTAGAAAATGGAATGTCGAGAAAAGTGTATTACAAGCCAAAATATTTTATAAATATGCAAAAGTGAAGGACAAGCGCTGTGTCCATCGAAAAGCTGGATTTTAGTATTATTTCGAAGTAGGAGTGGCCGCTCGGGAGTCGGTAGAAGCAGAATTGTGGGTGCTGCCACACCCGAGGTAGGAAAGTAACCGACAAAATTTGCAGTCTGATCGCAAGGCACGTAAATCAGGTGATTCATGGAGGCGTGGGAACAGCACCAAGTAAATCAGCAGTGGTTGCTCAAGCAGTGCTGGATTGATGGACAACGCGCTTGTTGTAGCACATTGGACAATAATTGTACAGTGGAGAAAAGCCAACCTAGACTTGCCCGACAATAATAATGGCAAATGCCTATTCATTCAGGCAAACTGTCGCTAAGCCAGAAAAGTGACCAACTTCATCAGACAAAGGTACACAGGCAGAGACAGACAGAGAGCCCAGTTAATAGACGTTAGTCAGCGAGGGGGGTGTATGGCGTCCGTGGGATAGTGGATTTAAGCCAGAACAGAAGTACTAAGGCAGCAAATAATCAGAAAGTAAGCAAGAACCGACGATACACAAAAAGCAGCTGACTAAATGGTGATATGCCTGGTGTCAGTGCGGTCGCTGATATGTCCATCACAAGAAGTAACAAGGAGAATATACCACAAATGTCTGGATAAACAGAACACTGAATAGATGCATAGACGGGAAGCCATTGGGTTGTTACCTTTTCGATCAAATCGATGGTGGGCTGCAAATCCAGGCCAAAGTCGATGAAATCCCACTTGATACCTTCGCGACTGTACTCATCCTGTTCCATGATGAACATGGTGTGGTTGAACAGCTGCTGAAGCTTCTCGTTGGTGTAGTTGATGCACAACTGTTCGAATGAATTGACCTAAGGCAGGGAACGCATGGTAGAGTCAAAATGCAACATAAAAAGTGGGTCAAATACGAACAGAAAACATACAAAAGCGAAATGCGCTTTTGTGTATGTGTGCATAATAGCTTAGCGTTGTAAATCGAAGCGGCTAACACGTGGAAACTAGTTCTAGACTATGGCATACGTCATACATTGCGAAAATACAGGGCAGTGGTCTGAGCAATGTCTTTCTAGCTCTGCTGAGAAAAGCGTGAGAAAACGTACAAGTTGTGAACAGCTCTAGTACATCGAAGCTCGATTCATGAAGCATGGAACAGGGAACGCTTAAGAAGGATTTGCGAGCCATGTATCAATAGAACGGATCTCACATACACGATCAATATTGTAGAAGAACGCCGGTATCCCGTGCCAACGCTTTGCTGGTAAGTGACCACCAAGCTGTGTGCGGGTTAGGAGTGCTCAGAGGCCACTTGTACTTACGCAGACTCGAATGGGTAACTTGCGGATTACAACCCAGACTTTGAACCCATCAACCACCGCTTGAAGCCCAGATAAGGCTACAGCGGTACGCCGTCACACCGTATCGACGTTTTGCTGCCACGCGAGCACAAACAGTTGCGCAAGGGTTGGGTATACCGCGGAGTCGACCGCACTTGCGCGGATTCGAACCAGCGACCTCCGGAGTACAAAGCAGGCGTGCAATCCTTTCAGCCACCAACGACCAGGTGGCTCATGCTCTGGCGAGCCTGAAAGACACGACTTACATGAGTTGGGGAGCTCACGCTTCCTATGAATCTTAAGTGTCGGTGCTGATTCGGACGACATCGTTAAACCAGGGGTCAACTGTACGGAAGAACCAAGATAGCCCAGTAAACAGCCGGATGAGATGTGAGCTGGATAAGATTTGACAATGGAAGAATAGTTCTAACTGACCCCGTTCTCAGGGAAGTGATTCAGTGATGCAGTAAGGTGGGATTGAAATGGCGACCAAGAAGTTATGGGTCACCAAACAACCTTTGGAAAACACAAGCAAGGTCATTCTTCCTGGATTTCGTTTTAACATCTAATTATGAATGAAGTGAGAGGTGAACAAATGGTATACATTTTGACAGTCCCTGGATGGAAGAGTTCTGTTACAATTGCAGTACGGTGGGAGGGCGTGGCCTGTGCTCCCGAGAGTGAGGAGGATAGCGTTTCGGTTAAGGCGGCTTTACTGCCCAGATTAACGGAACTCGATAAGAAAACTGTGACCAAAATGGTGTATTGAAGGCGGACTCCGTTGCTTTAAATCGCACAACCATGGTAACAATGAGGGCGACGGAAAAACTGTGCAGTCGAAAAAACACCGGAATCACGTTCATTTGGCCGAAATATGATGATACCCATTGATGAAGATACCCGTTTGAGGAGGTACTTCGTTTGGTAATGAGGGTTAAACCACTTAATCAAACAGGTGGCCACTGAGATATGTTAATTCCTATCCCTTGTTTACAATCACAGTGAGAGTTCCCCTTGCCCGACAAGCGTCCGGTCCCATGACTAGCATACAGTGCCCAAACACCACTATCAACATCAACGGCCGCAATTTCAAGTACACATACAGACGCTCTAACGTAAATATTTGATGTATTTGGCTGCTCATCAACTGGAACGTGTGTCGAAAAGAACAGGTGACAGGCCTCTGTACCAATTTTGTGCGACGGCAGACTGTGGAACCAATGGAGAAGGTTCACTCAATGACAGGAGCTAGGTAATAATAGTTATTACAAAGTGGTGCAAGTTCGTGGATAGTGAGCGACGACATGTCACATCTAGCAACTTAGTCATGTCGGTCGTCATCGGACTGATAAGTCAAGTTGCGGGTTCTAGCCCCACAGGATCCAGATGGAATGTGCACTGCCCGCGGTTCCCGGATGAGATAGCCATACAGTGCTTTTCGGGCGTGCGTTCCTCAGTAAAAACCCCGTTCTATTAAACAAAGAGTCACGTTGCACTCTGTACTAAGCGACGACAAGCCGAGAGTGCCACTGCACCAGATGTCGAAGAGCCCTGCCAACGTTTAAACTAAAATGCTGGAAACAACTATAGTCTAGGACCGTTATTTTTTGCTGAGATTGAATGAGTTCGACTACCGTAGGCCATAGGCTACACGAGCTGAAATGACCAGAACTCCCCGATGTCGGTACATATGGACGCCGCGAATCATCAGTTCGATTTGGAGAATGTCAGGATCATAGACAGAGCAAAAGTTAAAAGAAAAGGCGCGCGAATTCATCGAAGCCCGGTACTCGGGCCAGAACTCAATCAGTAGACACTTAGAGCTAGGTACTGTCTAGGAAGTGCTAAGGGTCAGTCCTTGTACCAGTACTTGCATACCTGGTCTGTAGCCTTAAGGACCACATGCCTAACTTGTAATCTAATGGCGATTCGAAGCTGCGTAGGGACTGGGCGACTCTTGCAGTAGCCTTAGACAACGTGTGACTGGTGGAGATTGCGCGGCAACGAAATGTCGGCACTGCGTCCCACCGTACTACTGAGCACTTTCTTTCTATAGAACTAAGGAGAGCTGTCGTCCGCATACTCAAGGTCTGTCAGTCGGTCGCCTGGCAAAATTTCCAGTCCAAAAGAACTAAGGCATTCATAGTTATTTCGATCACAAATTTGGAGAGGAAAGATATGGGACAACTTTGGTGAAACACCACTTGCCATGACGAAATCAGGAGACAGATTTCCGTAGATCTCACGCGGTTATGGAAGTCACCGCAGACAGTCGTTAGAATGGGAGACGAGCTTAGTCGGCACGCCTTCCTATGAAAAGCAGTGCCCCAAAGTGGCTCGATCAGTGGAGTACAGAGTGGCGTTCATGTTCGGGAAAACCACCGTCGACTGCAAGTGTCTTTACTCCAACACTTGACGAAGAATAAACATGCAGTCGATACATCCACGACCAGGGCGGAGGTTAGCCTGACTTCCAATGACTTGGGTGACGACCATTTTGACATCGAAGAATGAGACAGCTGCCTAGTGCCTCGGTGATTTTCACACGAAGTACGCTGACTCCTCATGAAGATGAGCACGACAGTTGACAGTCACCAGTCTCAAGGCACCTCTTCGTGGTCCTAAATCGTGTTACGTAGAGAAGCAAGTTCAATCAACCAAGAGTCACCTCCATCTATCAGCAAAAACGGAGGAAGGTAGACGAGTCAAGGATGTTTGTTTTGTTTCAACAAGACTTGCTCATGTAGAATCGCTTCCAAAGTGTGACATCAACATCCCACGGTGGCTCAGGTGATTCAGCAAGTGGTATTGTTGCGGCAGGCCTGCTGAAGTGCTCTTCCAAATATTCCGTCCAACTGGTTGGTCGACACGGCTGACACTGTATCAACTGTCCATCTTTCTCAGCAACTGTCTTATTAACTGGTGGCTTTCTCGGATCCGTATTTCGGATGAGCCGGAAGAGCACTCAGCTGTTCCCGATAGCACTGGCTTTCGCCTTCTCACGGGCCCTGGCCACCTCCCAACGTTTCTGGTCGCTTCGAAGACGCCTTGTCAATCGTCATTTCAGGTCATTACGTGCACACTGAAACCTAGTGCCCACCGAAACTTGTTTCCCAGCTTTGATCGAACGCGTTGATGTCACAGAGGTCCATTTACAATTCGGATGTCTAAGGTGGGCGTACAACAGGCATCAAAAATGTTATTCGTGACAAATTTGAGACGATTTCAATCAGCGTTTGGCTCACTAACCTAATTCATCGCTCACAATTGGAGGACTAGTTCGTCATTCATTATGCAAGTTAGACGGAGGTGTAAAGCACCTACTGTGCCGCAATAGATAAAAGAAAGAAGAGGAAAATGCAACAGGTGCAAGTCAGCTGAGTTACCGGTAACGGATGGACATCGTTCCGGTAAGCTACCAGTCGGCTACAATGCAGAAAAGATTTAACTAGGCACTTATATGAGGCTAAGTACCGAGAGCGTAGTTGGAGGGAGAAGATAAAAGGAATGGAGAAGGACAAAGAAACGCACAATAGAATGCCACTGAGGTCGGCTCTTATCCATGTCAGCAAGTGTATCTAGCCAAACGTGTTTATCATCTTTTGGACCCAAACCAGGAAGTCGTGAAGCTCCAAGCGAGGCCAGCTCCGAAGTGAGGGCCTTCATTCCTCTCGACCAAGCCATCGCTTGGCCCCCGCTCTACAAACTGCCGACTGAGGTCAAGTTACAAATGAGAAGCCTAGAAATTAGGAGATTCTTTGGAGCAGGAAGAGCGAGCACCAGGTGAGCGTGCGCTAAATTATAAAAAGTACCAGCAGTACGCCGTACCGATGCTTCGTCTCCACGCAACCACCATCAGTCGCGCGTGAGCTACGGATACTGTGAGGATCTCACAGTCCCCTACGCAGGCACGAACCCGCGCCTTAGGATTACAAGGCAGGCTTGTGATCATTCAAGCATAGTCGGAATGCAGGCACGTGATCCGAATTGTACGACAGTCTTGGACTACTGCACGCCATCTATAGCTGGTGCCAGACGCGATGTGAACGTTTGTGCTGGAGAACAGTGCTGCGAAGATCAAGAATGTGGTCCGCGTATAGTTGCAAGAGTCGGTCACCATTGTCAGTTCGGCGTACATCGACCCCGAAGTGGCCCCTCAGGTGTTGTGCAAAAGATCCCATGGTACTGTAGTGGGCTGGCTGCTGAACTTGAATCACATATGCAACCAGCATACACCTCTCGGTCAGCTGACATGGTTGCAAATACCTCCCGGTGATTTGCTGAAAAACCACGAGGTGGTTATTTTGTAGCGTGGCATAGAAGTATGAAAGGGGGTGACCGAGAGACCGGGACAAATTGCGCACATCCTTTGCTTGTTCGTCACACATTGGATTCATGTCTGGATAATCAAGTGGGGTAAGTCAGGTTGAATGGTATTCTACTTTTGTGTTACACGATTTCATGTCGCTCAACGTAACCCTGACTTGTATCTGTGAAAAGTTTGATAAATGGGGTGCGAGTGGGGGTAGTTTGATATGCTGAACATCGAAGTTCGTATCATAGCTGTTTAGGAAACGTCAGCCAAACATGAGTCCACCATGCTGTACAAAACAATGATAACATAAGAGCGAGGCAGTACCTGCGTGTGTGTATGTGATACAAGCTTGAGTGGATTGGTAAGAAGCGACGTAGTTACGTCGACCAGCGGGTCTCCAACAATGCTGAAGAAAGCAGATTAGAACCTAGACAACGATGAGTGATTACAGAGGAGGTTAACAGACTTGGAAATCAGAAATATACTCCATAAGGACAAACCTGGAAAATCTCGAATCCGGCAATGTCCAGAATTCCAACAAAGGAGGCTCCGGGGCGTTTAGTACGGTCTAGAGTTTGATTGATTCGGGCCACTAGCCATAAAAAGAGGCGTTCGTATATAGATTTGGAAATGGCCTCAACAGCGGATTCGACTTGTGCCTTGGTCTGCGCTTTGGATACCATGTCTTTTCCAACTTTGATTCTTGGTTTTAGAAAAGCCTTAGTCATCTCGTTGAGGGGGATACCGAGCAAATGCGAAACCTTTTGAGCCACTGAAAAGTAAAGAAAATCGCGCGCGATATTCAATTATATAGCACGCTGGCTGAAGCGCAACCCAATGAAATACCGGTAAAAACGAATAAACATCTGAAGGGTGAGCAAACCAATGAAAATGTGGAACAGATAAGTACACGACTGACTGGCTCTGCTGCCCAAAGTCGATACAAACTGTAGACAGTGTTCACCGGAAGAGTATCCGTGGCCGATTCACCCAGTAATGAACTCCTGCACCCACAAGCCGCCGACACCAATATGCACTAGAGGCCCAGCAAACAGCGATGGAAGACTAGCAATAAGACGGTTATTAGTTCACATAGTGTTTCGGTGGATTGCCCTCATCGAGAAAACCGGGTGGGATTAGGCTATCAACGTAGTGGCACCAGTAAGTGAAGAAGTTATTGAAGGTGACACTGATGGAGAAGAGAGTTGAGTCTCTACAGGAAATCGGTTTAATGAAGTTTAATGGGGCCGAAGTGACGGTCAATGGACAAAAAGATAAGGCGAGTGTTGTAGCCCAAAGGTCACCGCCTCGAGCATGCGCAGATCTGGGCGACCTCACGGCATGGTTTTACAAAGGCGAAATGAGGTCTTCAGACAGCTCAATCATGTCGCACCTCCTTGAATGTGGCCATACAACTTCAGAGAATGACTTCCAAGTCATCTACTCACTACCTGAACACTTCTCCCAAGGATTCCGCAAACAGCTCTTATCCATCGCCGAGGCTATCTACATTCACCATCTGAAGCCGGAATCATGTGTACAAAAACGATTCATACGGCCGATACTACTACCTTGGCCAACGGACACTGTTACTTAGTTATTTGGTTGTTATCTTACCTACTTAAGTACTTTAGACTACTGAGCTTTGCGTATGCATGTTTATTTAGTTTACTTGGTTTACCATCTCTATCTCTGTCTCGAGTTATCGATTTTGATCATTCAAACAGTCCAGAAGTCAATCCCAGCCCGAGTTGACGCTTACCCCACAGTGTCAGCGTTCTGTAAACGTTTGGGTCCGATGAGAGTTCACCGAAAAGAATTCTTCACTTAGAACTGATTTCTGATATTGACCTCACAGTATGCAAAACCAGCGGTAACGAAGCCTCAGTACGGCGTACCGATGATGCCTTATCTTTCTGTAAGTGACTAAATCACCATACGATGCCAGCAAGTGAGAGTTGGCACGGAGATCAGAAATAGAGACACCACCGACTGGGTTGCCTGGTGAAAACAGGCGCCCAAGAAGGTTTGTTGAACATGAAACAAGGTAACGGAGGCTGTGAGGAAAATGCATCGGTAAAATCAGTTGATATGATGCAGCATGTGACCGGCTAACTGAGGTGGTATCGCTTTCATGATGCCGGAAATCTGAATGATGGTTGCACACACTGTGCCAGGAGTTGTTGCTTCTGCTGCCTTCGCGTAATAGTAGTAGCAAAACGTAGGTGTAAAAGATGGCATGCTGCGGAGCATGAAGATGATCGACGTAACTACAGTAAGTGGGTTACGCGGTAGCCAGAATACAGTATGTTCAGGTGGTAAGTCACAAAGTATCCTACGGTGTTGGTCTAGAAATAAGTTAGAGGTAAGGTGCAGCGCAATAAGCGAAGAGATTGGGCTTGGGAAGATATCAAACCGTTGAACTTAAATCGAATAGATGCTGGTCTTAGCTGCAGGCGCGCTAGATGAACCGTGTGATCTGTTGAAAGATGGCACGGCGTGGACAGTCAGGTCGACGCATCCAAGAGATTGACTCTGATGGATCCAAGTTAGTGGAATCTATTTGAGCCCAATACGCCCCTAGTAAACACCAATTAAAGTGAAAAGCGGCATTTGCGTAGGGGGTCAGCAAGGGATCCTGTGCCAGTAAGCAAAAGCAAAAAGTAGATCACAGCTGCTCATTGCAAGCGATGCCTAATAGTAAGCAAGCAGAAATTAGGTAACGGAATAATTCGGGGGGGGGGGGCATTAGGAAATAACCATATTCGAAGTGGTGTATATGGAACATTTGAGAGGGGATGGTTTGGCGCATCAAGTAAAATATGAAATGTTTACCTGACGTATCCGGCAAAGTTGCCTGATCGGAATTGCGTTCTTGGCGGAAATCCAAATTGCCGAGGTGCAACACTGCCGAGATAACCCGGAAGATAGCTGCAAATTCGGAAGTTCAGTAGTATTCTATATTTAATTTGTAAGAACAGTGTTGAAAACGAGAAGAGAATAATTACTGCTAGAGTAGGTATCTGCTAATTGGAATAAATCCGAGCGCGAGGTCAAACCTACAGAAACGCATAAAATCGGCTGCTCTCGTTTTCCCCGTTTACTCGTATCGAAACGGTGAAAGTAAACAAACGTATAATTCTCTCCCAAATGGCTGAAATGAAACGCACATCTCTCATATCGAAAGGCGTAAAAATGCAACAATCACCAAATAACCTGCGGGAGCAAAATGGTCCATAGGTATTGGCCCTCCATCATTAAAGTGGTACATCGATAACGAACGCAAATACATCAAGTAGCATATCGGTCATGGTCAAAGGCTAACAAGTTCGCTTGCCATTGATTGGTAATTATCACGTTCGAGGATTTTAAATATATTTCTGAAAAGACATCAGCAGTATGCCGGTGCGCAGTACCGACGCTTCGCTGCCGCACGACCACTATCAGTCGCTTACGGGATAAGAATACTGCGAGGGTCGCCCAGCACATACGCAGGCTGGAACCCATGCCCTCGGATTAAAAAGCAGACCTGTGATCCTTAAGGCTGCTGGGCTGAAGAAGTTCGTGAGTCCAGTTTCGCTTGTTTTCCGAAGCCGGTGACTTTCGTTAGCACATGCACGAGAGTACGGATACGGGTAGCCGTCGTAATCCAGTGCGCATGGATTACAGATGTTTAATTAAGCTGAATGATCACGAGAGACGACATCTGTTTTTTCGAGTGACAGTCGAATAATTAAGTTGGGCCGGTGGCCGAGTGGTCTGCACGTTTGCTTTGCAACCATAAGGTCACCGGTTCGAATCCGCGTAGGGGTGGGCGTCCTCGCGGTATACTGAGCCCGCGCGCGACTGGTGGTGGTCGCGCGGCAGCGAAGCGCCGTTACGGCGTACAGCTGACACATTATTATTATTATTATTATTATTATTATTATTATTATTAATTTATGGTTAATGTGGGGTAAAACAGTAAACTGGTAAAAAAAGATTATCACTGTTAGGTTTTACAGTAAGTACGTTGTGTTTGAACACTGAAACGTAACGTCAACTGGGGCCACATTTTACTTTGTAGTATAACCAGGCGAGTATCACGAAACCGAACAATGAACGGCTGTATCAAGCGTCGCTCACAGAGCCCAATGGTTTAGTGATCAAGGCGTCCGTCGTCAACTCCTATATGCTGGGTCTTATCTCCAGAGCATAGGACGTCTCTAGATAAAGAGTCCTGATAAGGACGAAACCAAATGGTGGAATTGAATTGTTAGGAGCGAGCAACACCGACCTTGGAAGAGGACGTTAAAGCAGTACCATTAAGCGAAGCATCTCCAAGGTATCAGACCAGTAGAAAATGAACAGCAGTGTTCTAATTCGGTGGTGTATCATCAAATAATCGAAAGTCAAAACATAAATGACGAAGTTGCAAGAATGATGGCAACGCAGAATGTTTCCTCACCCCACTGATCCTCAGCAGAGATACCCATGATATCCATTGCCTCGGTGGTCTCAAGATAAGCCTGTCGCTCATCCAATCCAGGAATTTCCAACATGCCGTTGGACATGAAGCGGTACGAGTTCGCCTGATCCAATAGCAGTTTCTCCTGCATTTCCGAAGAAGCCGAAGTCAAAAGCTGATAGAATATGTGGAAACTCCGTTCATCCGGTGACTGCCGGGCAACACGAGCTTTTTCTAACAGATCTGGTATGTGGCCAGTGAAGTAAAGGAAGAGCAATAGATGTGGATGAAAAAAAACCAGCGCAAAGAGCTATCCCGGAGTGTGCTACATGGGCTGCTGACGAGAAACAGTGCGAATGATTTGGCCAGTGGATGGCACACGAGGGTCTACGACTGCTAAGGAGAGAGTGACCCCGAACTACTGCATACTGCGGGATTTCATCCAATATACGTGATTAAAAGTGCAATAACGGGTTGGTAGCAGGAAGGCGGAAAGACTGGTGCATAATCCAATGGTTAGGAAAAAGTAGCCCCGAATTCAACACCATACCAAGTTGCTGGTCCTCTTTCAACACTCGGCGCCGCAGTACGAGACGATCGGGAGTGTGAGATCTGTGGTGCAGCTACTGTAGTAGGCACAAATAAGGGCTTGAATCGAAATTCGACAATAATGACGACATGCCGGTCAATCAAAGTGCTTTCTATGCATTTCGGAGTACATCTCAGTCAAATAGCACCTAGTATTCAAGTGGGGAGCAAGAACTAAAAACATGAAACGGAACGCTGTCATCAAAATAAACAGAACCGGATAGCCCAACTGAGGCGCTTGCTCATATGAATTGATCGGGTCTATAAGTTAAAAAATTATGACCCGAGAACCGGAGTACGGTGGATCCAGTTGCTGCGACTAAGTCGCAGGAGATGGGAATGAACGCAAACCGAAAAAAATAAAAGCGAATTAAGAAAAATGAGTAAATCTAAACTGGACGGAATGAATAGTAACAAATTCATGCGAGAAATCGAATGCAGGAATGCCGACGACTACGCGATGTTCGATAGTATACAACCTCTGACAAAGATCATCTTAATGCAACCATCCACAACTACGGTACGCACCGGCCTAAGCAAGTCTCAGTTCATTTCGACACGTCTTGATGCCATATCAACGACCGACCAACTCGCGGTTTCAATCAACTTGGTGCAGTGACGGCGTATAATGCACGCCGAGGAAGCTGGTCAACGGACATAGGGAGGGTATCACACCTGGCGAGTAAACTTTAGTAAAAAATCTAGCGCGGTACCACAGAGCTACTTGCCAAAAATCAACTGGCGGACCTCAGCACTGTTCACCTGGTGTTCCCATCAGATGTGAGCAATACTCCGTTGGCATCGTTAAGCAGAAACGGCCAAGCGTTTAAAGTGCTCAGTGCGAACTCGCCTGGTCTCTGCTGTGTACAGTAACACCAGCCAAGCTCAAGGCGAGTCACGTGGATCTCAGACTGGAGGGTGAAACGGACCAACGGCACCCAGTTTGGCCGTCAGTGACTTCATTTCACGCTGAGAAGTCAACTTCTGTCCACCTCGAATCTTGCGCCACTCTACATCTGGACGACAAAACAAAGTCCTCCTGGGTACGCGGTGACCGGGCATACGTAGTACGTGCCCAAGACAACGCAACTTATTCAGTGCTGTCTGTCGTTCTAAAAAACCAGCTTGATTATCACTGCCCAGTACACGCTTTCGCACATCATCGTTGCGGATATGCTGGGGCCACCCAACACCAGTAATGCTCCGCAGACAGCGATGATCAGGCAGATGGATGGTCACGGAGCACAGATCGAGAAGGTCAATTCATAAGTCACTTGCTAATCAATCACAAACCGACGACCAAGTCAGCATATGACGTTTGACCCAGCAGCGCACTGAGGAAGTCACCTCCTGTGGTGATGAAACGTTTGCATACCAATTGCGAAGCTCGACGAACAGCTGAACCCAGGAGCGGTGATCAAAAACCTGAAGGTGCCTCAGATCTTCAGACTGAAGGGGCCAGGTTTCACTACCATAGAGCAGAACGGCCCTCACTGTGGCCTTGTATGCACAGCCTTCTAGACAGAGGGAAACCCCTTTATGTCACCAAAGATGTCGAAGATTAAAAAGGCAGTTCTGGCTTTCGTAATAGATTAACTGACCTTAGTAGCTACACACCCATCGTTGCCGATATAAATGTCGAGGTAAGTGAATCGATCAGCTATTTCGAGCTCCTCGATATCTAGGGTCAAGGGATCATCAAGTGGCTGGAGGTCCTGCAGCAACACTTTGCATGTTGAAGGTGCGAAGCGCATACCAAATAATGGGAGCCCTCTTAAGAGCTTATTCGGGGTTGATTGCGCTGACCCAACATTGTTTAAAACAAGACGATATAGTCCGCATAATCAAGATCAAGTAGTCGTTCACCAACCGCACCTCAACGTCTGCATCGTGAGAATCCGCAAGGGGACATTCGATGCAGAAGAACACGACGAAATTGAACAAAAATGGGGAAACTGGACAAGCCTGAGGAATGCCACTTGTTGTCAGAAAGGCATCCGATAAATCACCGTAGACCCTGAGGCGGGTACAGAGCACATAAAATGTTCACATATTTCATGGGAAGACCATTCCGCGCCAGTATCGCGAACAGAACGCATCGATCGACTGGGTTGTATGCAATCTTGAAGTCGAGGTATGCGTGGCTCCATTTTGGCAGCTACTGCAAAGCGAATACGTAGTCTATACAGCCAAGTCTAGGGCGGAAACCTGCCTGACCTTCCCTAATCCGGGATTCACGCTCCGCAGTGAGGCGACGAACCAAAATTAAGGCCAGTAATTTTGTTACTACGGTCGTTAGGCTAATACCCCTGGGGTTAGCAAAGTCCTTACCACTGTCATTTCAGTACATTATCACTTTGATCGATTCACTCCAGTTAGCCGGGACGGTTTTCTCCATTCATACAGGTTTGAACAGTGAGGTCAGTGCTTTGCAGTGGACCGCATCTCCATCCTTAAATAGTGCAGGTGGGACGGAATCCGGGCCAGCAATACGAAAACGATTGAGGGCTATAATCGCGTTTCGGACGTTAGACGAGGGCAGAGATACTGCCATAGCACTCAGACCTAGACATGCGAACGATTAGGGTCCTTAACCAAAGCCTTTGGCTCAAAAGCCTGTTCGCAAGGCAGCAGGGTGGTGGCAATGATTTAGTTCTACAGAAACCTGGAGGACCAGGAGACTCAGTTTGTTTGACCTTTAACCATTAACTAACCTGGTAGGAGTAGCTCTCAAGGGGTGCCGGGGCACCACCCAGTATAGCTCAATGGGTGAAAAATTACACAAACCGTCGCACCATGTTAAGGTCCAGTTTCGTTGTGACGGTACCTGCGTGGTAATGATTGGTTATGACGAGAAGCAATGAAAGCCGCAAGGAAACTGTTCCGCCGATCCTGCCTTATCCTTGCACGATAGCCAGCTGTTTGCGAGGTATGTTGTTGAGAAGGTGTAGGCATCGTGATTCTGAATGTTTGCTTAGGGTATTAAAGTCTTCCGGCAAGTCTCCCTAATTGTTTTTCGTTCTGTAGGTCGTTATTGTTGTATGGCGACGAAGCATCACTTCAAGTGGCTGATGTACTGCTGTTGATGATGACGACGTCTCAAGTAGGCGCCAAAAGTAATCCTCATGGTACATTTAGGACAATTCAAGTCAGCACTCGGCTCATCAAGCAAACTTGTTACTGGTAACTTGTGGAGCAGTTCGTAATGATACTGTGAACTGTGGACTGGGAGTTCACGTTACAGATGAATGCCAGCTGCGGCTAATTCACGATTGAGGAGAGAAAAAGAGAGGCATCAGCAGTACGCCGGTACGCAGTCCCGACGCTTCGCTGCCGCACAAACACCACCGGTTGCACGTGGGCTAAGGATACTACTGCGAGGGTTGCCCGGTCCCTACGCAGGCTCAAACCTGCGACTTCAGATTACAAGGCAGGCTTGTGATACTTAAGGCTACGAGTCGGGAATGGAAATAGTACAGTCGGTTAGGCCTTCCCGCAGACAAGCAATGACTTGTCATTTTGCTCTCCAGTAGGATGGTGAGAACTGCTAAGGTTCACCAAAAGGTCAGAAAATGGTGGATACGAAAATCAGAGGCCAAGTTGATGTCTTAAGTGTCACGTTTCACCGAAGTGAAGGCATCAAAGAGCAAAAGGCAAGTCATACAATGCAGGCAAAAAAAGAACGATATAATCTAAAGTGGAGACAATCGAAGGTGCGCTATGACTGGGGTTTCTGATGAACAGTGGGGAAAGTAGAAACACAATACATTTTACATCACATGTGATTCTATAAGAAATAACGGATCAACGACGCTAGAGATGTCTGTTACTATGAGTACTACTTCGGACGATAAGGAAATACTAAGTCATCTGGACTAGGTAGGACAGAAATCCCCGAGCTAATTAAACGCATCGGCGGGTTACATGAGATGGGGGAGGGGGGAAGAGGGTGGATACGGTTCAGTGGCCACGCCAAACAAAAAGGATACATGTTTCAATATTCGCGCCAGCGATGAAACCAGAGGTGTCAAAGTTAATTCGGACGAATTTGCCCTAAAATAAAAGTTAAAGAACGGTGAAGGCATAGTATGATCGAGGAAGCGTGGACACTGACTAAAGATTACTACGACAGAAGGTTAACTATAGATAAGCGTGGCAGAAACTGTCACAAAATTTAACGAGTCTGGAGTGCCACATTACAATGAACAGCTGGTGGGCATGAAAGAGAAGTCAGAACTGTCCGAGTGAGTGAGATCAGTAGTGAGAGCGTAGTATGACCACGGAGAACAGAAGTAAATGCTTCGCTTACATCTTCTGGACTGAGTAGGGACCGTCTGAACTTATCTGGCGAAAGATAGTCAAGAAAATAAGCTACCAGCAATTTTTCAAATGTAAACAACTTAGTGAAACACTTCCCGAATAAATGGTAAAATGATTGGGAAGTAAACCAAACGAGTGGATGATGGAGTGTTCCTTTTCGGATTTCAATGATAGACTAGAGTACATCTGTTCGCTGTCAGCGAACCGCTAGGCCTCGAACTAGTGTAAAGTGCCAACAAATGTTGATGGAACAAGGTGCCGCCAGGATTCTATATTATGCGGTTAAAATAGTCCACGTATACGTACTCTCTAGAAAGAATTGGGAAATTCGACCAAAGGACATCTGGCCATTCGTGCAGTGGATACCGTAGACCGCTGCCAAGCAGCCACGAATTTGGGTCAAAGGTTTTGTTTTGCGAGAAATGTCCCTTATCCGCCTAGGTTAGGGTGTCCTAACTCACGTGCGATCATTTACTGCTGCATAACATCAAAGTGAAACCACAAAATGCGAGTGTACAGATGATATAAAAAAAGGATCGTGAGACCCGAAGGTATTGAGTCAAATACCATGTCAGCACAGATGCAGCGTACTAACTGATGATCTCAAAGACGGTAGAGCCATTTAAAATGCAAAACAGCTTTGACAAAATATAGAATACTCGGGCAGAAATGAAAACGGGTCGATAACTACCGAATTTACCACTAAGTCTTAGAAAGCAAACATGTGAATGTATTTTGCGGAAGCCAAGTTAAGGGGATATTTATCGAGATTGAGGGGAAAGAGTCAAGACAACGCTCAAGTGGCCACCATGCATCCGGGAAGATGGTGGACGGCAGTTTTTCATTGAGACAAGACAGAAGTTTGCACACCCATCCGCAAACAAGCTAAAATCCAACAAATCTCCTGGTTCGATGTAGCAATAAAACCAGTGAGCAACGGAAATTATCGGATGCTGCGGCAGCGGAGGATGAAATACATAAAATCACAGAAAGTTAGTTATTTATGAAGACCGATTCCCTTCTGTGGTATCCGGAAGTATGTATCTATTAGGACTAGGAGCAGTCAATGGATGGTAAATGACACTGCATTTATGTTGTTGAAGGGGGTAAACGAAGTCTGTAAATTTTATCCGAGAGTACCGTTAGTAAACGAACCGCTGGATCAGTTGCATAGGCTCTGAACTGCGTTCACCAAGAGTAAACGATGCGACATATGGGACTGTCTCGAAATCGAAGCGTGCGGGAAAAAGAAAACGGTAAAAGATGGAAGAAAACGGTATCATTCGCTGCGGCATCGAGGTAACACACCGTGTTAACAATTGAAAGTTGTCCACCTTATCGGCAAGTAAACCAATCTATGTTTACTTCTACTTAAAAGCTGACGAAAGCGGACAAACGAGGAATTCAGTTTGAGTACGCTGTCTCACACGACAATTAGGCGTCATGTGAATAGAATACAAGAAAACAGAAACCACGAATAAACTGTGACACCATAGCAACCTATTGTAAACCTGTGTGAAGATGCCATCAAGTCTCTAATTCTCGTATAAACAGGTGGTACTCGAGCTTCCTACTTTCAACTAGTCATTAAATGAGTGCGAAACGAATGCTCACGCAACACGGCCGTCGACTGGGTTTATATGATGTTAACTACTAGAAAACGTAAGTTATTGCCTACTCGCTAATGTTACATTGGCTGAGGTGTTCGCGCGAAGCAATAAGTGGTGCAACAAGAAGCATCTGCGATTCTCCGCAGAAGTGCGCAAACAATGCGGCTCGTTTCAATTCCAAGAGATGCTGCGGAGAAAAGTTTGTGCTAACAACGGTTCAGTATAAACATATTAGGCGAAATCAAGCAACAAATGCTATAAATCCATTAGAAAATAGATTGGCGAAGGAGAATGGGACAGTTGAGTAGAAAATGAGGTGAACGGTTAACTTACAAATCGGGATGAATTGTCGTTTTTTATAGTCTTCGCATTACCAAATGCTTCCAATATCGGATTAGCTTTAAGCAGCTGCGCCTCAAGCTCACCCTGAAAATCAACAGTACTCATGAGCGGAGGAGGAAACGAAGTAACTAAAAGACAACAATCTACACGGGTGCTAGATGCAAACTTTTACGTGTTCACACTAACCGAAGAGCACGCAAACTAGCACAGACCAAGACGAAGAGAGGAATACCGTCGAAGGTAATGCACATCGGATCTACAAGGATAGTTGTCACCAGGAGTAAGTACACGCAAGCAGTGGAGCATACACTAGACAAAAAGTTGGAGGAACCATGCAGCAGCATTCGGGAAAACTTGCCATAATCGTGCCAGACCGTTTAGCGACATGATTAAGCTAAAATGTGCGAATGTGATGGATAACCAATCGGAGACAACGCGCGCTTTCTCGAGCAATGATGACAAAAGATCGCACTTACAATGTTGACGTTCTTCGACTAAAAAGTAAAGTATAACAAAACAAGAGCAAGGTAAATACCAACAATGCTATGAAGAAGGTAAACAACAGACAGTAATTTATAACGGATAAAAATGTAGATACTCAACAGATCTGATGAAATGGTCAGGGTGAAAAGTACAAAAATCAAGAGACTCATCACCACTTTAAATGCGCTCCTTCAAAACACTGATGTGAGTGTGAATCGAACGCTCGCATATACAACAGATTGTTTTCAAATCTTTCTGGTCTGTTCCAAACAAATTTTGAAGGTGAGAGGCAATTACTGGCTGATGTTTTATGGGTGAAAGTAAAAAGGTTTATGTATGTGTCAACGCAATGTATAAATTCGGTATTCCGGCGTAGCACAGTCTATGTAACGGAGTAAAAATAGCTAAGAGCATCATTCAATAGCATTTTAAAGATATTAATAATAAGGGAGAGAGTTCCAAGATTGGAAAGCCCGAAGGGAAAAGTAATGTCGTTGGCATTCTAGGCGGCTGTATTATTAACTCACTATTCAAGTGATTATTGTATTGTGATTGAGTTTCAGTAAATGATGCCACATGCGACTGGGGTCACATAACATTTGTAGCACCGCTAAAAACCCTCAGCACCTTCAATGTTTGCTGATAAGAGGTTGCGTAGACCCTTGACGTCTTTAGCATCTCGAGGTCGCGTTTCGATCAAGATTATTAAGCACGAATAGCGAATCCAACGTGAAGATGAAAGTAAACTTTGTGTATCGTCGGGACGATTGAGGAATTAAGACTTTCGTGTGCCCTCCGCAACAGGCCGGCGTGTTGGTTGTTACTTTTAAGGTAGCCGCTTCAATTAGTTTTGGGGACATTATGCATGAGCACGCCAAGGTTGCGTTCCTTGGAACTGGTCCGCAGTCTGTGTGCCCCAAACTGCAGTCAGCTATGGCTGCCTCGCCGAACAACCTCCTCGTGGTGCCAGCTGGGCGGTTCGGTAGTCTTCCGTTTCGGCGAATGGTTCAGCGGCAGTGTTCCAGGACGTCGTTGGTTTTTGCCTGGCAAGCGTCCTCCCTATAAAAAGCCACAAATGTCCGTCTAACACTGCAACGTGACGGATGTGACACGCCACTAAATATAGTCACTGACTCTTGTCTCATTTGGAGACATTGTACACCGGAAAGCAATCCGAGCATCGGATCTTGTCTCTGGCTTCAGGAGTGTTGGCCCCCTGGCATGGCTTATCATCATCTGAAAGGTGTTTGAACTGAGTGTCCAGTCACCTGCTCGCAACGGGTGCGAATCTCTCATTTCCTCCTGCTGCCTTGTGGGTTAGGCCCATTGGCCAAAAGCTAGGGGCGGTGGTCCCCAAAGACAACTTATCTACCTCGGCCTAGGCAACCGGGTAGTATCTCGCCTACTAACGAACCATGGTTGGTTGGATACACTTGTTGATATGGCTAGGAGCCGATTTCAATGGCATTCGTGCAGTGAGTTTCCTTGTCCCACCCCATTCCTCTTAGCCTCCCCCTTCAACCATGATCTCATTATTTAGCATTTTATAATTATGCGTAATAGAGTATATTTCTTTCTGCTGCATAGCAGCCGACTGGTAGCTTATCGGAACGATGCCCATCCGTTACCGGTAGCTCAGCTGGCTTGCAACTGTTGCTTTTTATTCCCTTTTTCCTTTTAGGTATTACGGCACAGTAGCTGAGGTGTTTCTCACCTTTAGCTAACATGTATAGCGTGTGACGAACCATGGACTTAACTACAACTATTCACACGCTCTTTTGCTGCTACGATGTTATTCACTTATGCTACCATGCCAACTTCACAAGCACACGCCACCACTTTACCTACCCTTACCTTGTACCATTCAAACCCATTTACCTGATCAACTCGACCTCCACCGGTGAACCTGTTCCCGTGCCATCTGCCAACTCAACCACACAGTACTCAACAGAGTGCTGTAGGCCCCGAAGTCTCCCATCATCGCTCCTGCAACCCGTAACGCAGTTCAAACTTGCAGCCTTTAACGTACGCACACTACTGCAGATCGGTCAACAAGCTGGACTTGCACACACGCTAGAAACCGTTGGAATTGATGTCTGCTGCCTGAGTGAAACGCGACTCCAGGACTCCAACTCGATCTACCAGCTGGCGTCACCGCTCCACCTACGCACCCGCTTCCATTTCCGTCTCGCTGGTGAAACCGAGTCTGCCGCATCTGTGCAAGCTTGTGCTGGAACCGCCCTCAGTGCTAGAGCCGAGGCTGCTCTGATTGATTGGGTTCCGATCAATAGTCGCCTTTGTGCGATGAGGCTCTATGGCTCTAGTAAAGTTAGCAGACTTCGAGTCGAAAAGCGTGCTCTCTTCGTGATCTCTGTCTACGCGACCATCGACTGTAGCACGGACACAGTCAAGGACTAGTTCTATCAGAACCCTGATGAGCTGCTCCCAAGGGCTCCTAAAACAGACAACGTTGTTTTGGCAGGAGACTTCAACGCGTGTGTCGATCGTCTGCTGCCATGTGAGAGCCATCTCGGGGAACTGCATGGATATGATGATGTTCGCTCAGACAACGGTCATCAGCTTTCCCTCTGCAACACGAGCTTTCGTCATGCTGGACACCAGCAAATCACTTGGCGCCCTCCATCATCAACCCAGCGCTGGTCACAGATTGACCACAGCCATAAGTCGCAGGTGGCGCGGCAGCGTACGCAAGTGTCGATCATTTTGGTCAACATGCGTCGATAAAGATCAAGCACTGTTATGTGCTACCGTTTGTGTGCGTTTCGGTGGTCCACTAGGTCCAAACACACCCGACTGAACACCTACAAGTTGGAGGACCCAATTGTGGAAAAGGAGTACCAGCAAAGGATTCGTGTAAAATTCGCGCTCTCTCTTACTCTAAATGTTGGTCAACACTGGTCAAGTCTGCAACAAGCCATGCTGTCGGCCGGTTTGTCCAGCTGCGGTCTCACTCGCATCACTCCAAAAAGCTGAATCTCGTGAAGATCGTTGGAATTGCTGGATCGCCGACGGGCGCTACTTGTTGGCGCAGAGCACAACGAACAACGCCCGTCTAGTAAGCAACAGCGGAAAGCAAGGCTTCGCTCTGCTCATAAATCCTGGTGATCAAAACAAGCTGATGGGATGGAAACCAATGCATTAGCTGGCAACTTCCGCCGTCTATGTTGCATCATCAGGGCCACCGGTTGCAATTCCCATACTACCAGCCAGACGATTTGCGAATCAGACGGCACGAAGATCACCAACCTTCAAAGAGGATTAAGTCGCTGGGTAGAGCATTTCGCTCTTCAATTCAACCACCCAACACAGCCTCCTGTGGCACCTCCAGCCCCAACGGATGATGTTTGGCCTGTCTTTACAGCCCCCCCCCCAACTGAAGCAGAGATCCGAGATGCAATCCAATCTTCGAAACGCCATAAAACTCCTGGTTTTGACAGCCTATCACTGGCTTTATTAAAAAATGGCGGGTGTACTTGTCAGCGAAATCATATCGCAGTTCACGAAAGTTTGAATTGAGGACAAGGTTCCGAACTCATGGGGAAAATCGGTCATTATTCCGATACACAAAAAGGGCTCCCGCGACGATTGCTGCAACTACCGTTGAGCACTGTCACATACAAAATCTTCGTGTCTGTGCTACTTCGCAGGATTTCAACGATTAAGGAGGAGTTTTCCCGAGAAACACAAGCCGGATTTCGTCCAGGCCGCGGCTGCATCGACCAAATCTTCACGCTCAGCCAACTTCTCGGACTCCGTCAAATTCACCGCCAGCCAACAATAGTAATGTTCTTGGACATCCGAGCGGCATTAAATTCAATGGATAGATCTGCGTTGTGGAACTGTTTACTGAAAAAGGTGTGCCCGACATGTTTGTAACCACCCTGAAAGAATTTTACAACCACACGTCGGGTAAAGGGCTTACGGCACCCTCTCTTCTACATTTTCTATGAGCAGCGGGTGTTCGTCAAGGTTTCCCTATCTCTTCTTTCCTCTTCAATGTTGCCATCGAAGATATCGTCCAAGGAGCACTGGAAGGTGTCCAGAACTGCGGTGTAGTAAGCTCCTCCCGGGAGACAGAGTCACGCACTACGCCGATGATATCGCCTTGCTGGGGAACGACCCACAAAACAGTGCAGACA